ATGAAGAAGCCAAAGATATTGAACAAAGGAAACAACACGATGAGGACGCAAGGCATGCTCTGTCAACAAGTCCAAAAAAATTGCTGCTCAAGTTGTCATTCACTCGAAGGTCTTCTTCTTCGATCGGCCCTGCCCAGAGCCACGCATCAATTTTTGGTTGAAGAAGCGCGTGAAGAACCGGGTGATGAGGTGTCCAAAGCGCAGCCAAATCATCCAAGCCTTTGATCGATGGCATTTTGGATGATTTCCATCCCCAACCTTATGGGTTACTGTGGCATGTTTGCCACAGGGTGGCAACGACTTCACACTTTCTGGCCAACTGGCTGCCCAATTTCTTGGTGCTCATGATGGGTCTCCAAGCGGTGCCAATGGGCAATTGTATGCCCACTGCAACGACCGAAATGTGCGAATAGAAGCGGCTGCTCGGGAAAAAGGTCTCAGAGAAGAACAGTTTGCAAGGGCACATGCGGATGCAACACTTAGCATATTACTTGTAGTTTTTGTGAGTTTAGACCCGTCGTGAGTTACCGTTTGCATTTTGCCCGCCGCGTTGTTTGCTGGTCTACTATTACGGTGAGCGCCAGGATTATAATATTTGTTCTAAAGAAGTCCTGGGTCCAAGAGATTTGTAACAAGGTCCCGGAATTGCTGGGTTGTAGGCTAATGAGCTGGTACGCTGGAGATTATTTGCTTTATGGGTGGGGCAGGGCAGTTGCACAATGCTTCATGTCACCAAATAAATCCTCGCCTCCTGATGGCAGGCATCGTGTTTGCTGAACAGCCGCAGCAGAGCTGAGCGGTGGCACATGTAGAACAGCAAGCTGTGCTTCAGGTTACATTCCCGGAAGATAAGGACCTAGGATGAGATCAGAGATTGTCAAAACGGCGCACGGGATACTTGAGATCATAGCTTGGCACTGCTTGCCGTCAAAGAAGGCATTGTCTTGCCAGCGGCATTCCGAGCTTCACTCTTCGTCAGACTGAAAAATTGGGGTGGGCAGTAATTATGCGTGACTCCAGGAGCTCCACCTTGCACTCTCCACCCTGCACTCTGCGAGACTCTCACCCTGGTAGACTTCTCAAAACTTTCTCTTTGTTATTCATGTTGTCATAAGGTGGCCTCAGGCAACCTGAGTCCAATTAGCTTTAGCCCAAGGACGAAGGCCTCCCAAATGATCTGATTAGTGAGATGCTGCCACATATTGGACGCATTTTTTCGATGGTCTTGTCTTGTCTTTGCCAATTAAATGCCGGGATCCGCGTGACACTAGGTATCAGACCGTGTCACACAGGGACATTGTAGTTCAGTGGTGGTCATGAAACAATCATGCCGCATGCTCCTCGTACATTCATTTCTTTTGTTCACCCCGTTCATACCCGATACCGCAGGGTATCAAGGGGTGTATGGGGAGCACCCGGGTCTCTTGCGCAAGTCCTGGGACCTGATTTTGGGGTCTTATGGTTTCCATTGTCTTCTGGTTTGCTGGTTTGCTGCTTCTGTTGCTGCTCCTGCTGCTGCTGCTACCCACCCGTCCTTGCTTACCAACCTTTCGTCCACCCCCTTCTCTCAAGTCTACACCATGTTTGCTGTGCTACTGCTGCAAGGTGAACCTTGTCAATACTCTCGAGAGAGGATAAGTTCAGGAGTCATTGCTGGTGGCTGGTATGCAAGCTGTTATGGCTTTGTCTATGCCATCCACCAACAGATGTCCTCCATTGTACTTTGTTTTCTGCTTGAGTGGGGTGGTTCTCATGAGAAACTTTGATGCTTGAGGGCCATAGGGGTCTTGTAGTAGGAGATGTTCTCTCAGTGGCGTTAGCAGCACTTGCACTGAATTTGTGGTTCAAGCAAATGGGTTTAACTCACAGTGCGCACAACTGCTTTCAAAGCATCATCATGCTTCTTGAACAGGCATGACGGCAGGTCGATCGAAGCTTTAATGAGGTTTAGCAACATAGACAACTCAGCTAATGACGCTGTCCATGTTCACCGAGCAGCGTCAACAAAATACAACAATCATAATTAGCAACAATCATAATTGTAACATCGATACGAACCCGGCAAAACCCTAGACTAGTAGACCAGTTTGACAGGTGCGACTACTGAGTTATGAGTTACAGTAGATGTTGCTTTGGAAAGCTCTTATGTTGCGACATGGCTTCTGGCCCGCTGTTGGTTTGCTGGCTGGAGGAGCGTCTCACGGTGTTGAAGTCGCCGTGATTGCAGGGAATGAAGCCAAGTTTGCGCGTTGGTGAGTGCGTTCTGCATAGCTCGTACATTCAAGGAGCACGGAAAAAACACACCAAGACTTAAGACCATTTAATGGCAAGTGCAGAAAAGAATGGGACGCATAGACAACACAACATATATAAGTTCAGAGGAATCTGTTTTGTTGTCTTATCCCCCAATCAGATTGACGCTCAAATTCTCTCTCAGGAAAAAGGAGCCGGCCACAGTCTCTGGCCGCGCCCTTAAACCTTGTGTCCGGGTGTTGTCCTGTTCGGCCCTGTGCCCCCTTGTCCTTTTGGTGTCCTTCTGTTCTTAGGCCGCGCTGGCAAACCCTCTGTCCTCCCCTTGTTCCCAAAACATTTTACGTTGTCATTGTCCAGTCCAGGCTTTGTCTGTTCTGTTGGCCGCGCCGCCTTGTCCGGGTTTGTATGCCTGCTTGGCCGGGCCTTGTTCGGGTCTGTTTGTCCTGCTTGTCCACGTTGTCGGCCCTTTTGCCACAGCCTTGTCTGGGCCTTGTCCGCTGCTTCGCCACGCCGCTTTTTCTTTATCCCCCCGCCTTGTCCAGGTATGTTTTCGTGTGGCTATGAATGCATCCAGTGTTTCAAATTTGATATCATCCTCGGATTTCCTCCTTCGTTTTTCACATGTGACTCGGGCATCAGGAACTGTTGTTTTCAATCATTTTTGTGCACGTGCCGTTCCCAAACAGCTAGAGGCTATAGGTATATAATTGCAAATGTTCTCACCAACATTGCATCGCTTAACAATGTTATTGCTGAAACTGTTTGGTCTATGCTGGTCTAATTATTTTTCTCTTCTTTGTGCTGAGTGGAATTCGACAAACTGTAGTGTAGGACTGTAGGATAGGTGCTAAGGGCTTTGCCTCCGGTAATGATTTGCCAGGACTCAGATGTCCCTCGGTGGGTATTGCCGGCCTCGCGAGGTATGCAACTGGACCCAGGCTGGAAGACATGTTAGGGCACCTTCCCTTCCCTATCAGAAGTTCTCCCCATACTACCCTGCAGTTTCATTGCCTTGGAGGCAGCCGCTGGCTTTGCTACCCAGCTGGCAGGAATACCAGAAGAGCGGTTTGGATGCCTGGATGGGCCCACCGATCAAAATTTTCATCGGTCATCGTGCACGGCAAGTTTCAATTGCATCAAGGCTCTACTGGCCAACCAAGCCTTGACGGTCTGCGATTTAAACGCGTCCGCGCCTTGGCCGCGTTGGTCGTCTCATGGGCCATGGAAGAACATGGGCTCGGCCCCAAACATGCGCCCTTGGAGCCAAGGCCTGAGGGACCGTAGCATCTCTGATGAGTTGCGCAAGGCTGATGCCCATGGGGTCAGCGTGCTGCCTAGAAGCGGGCATTTGGTGGTGGCTGAGCAGGAGGCGGAGGGTCGATGGTGGACGGCTCATGGAGGAAGATGTGAATCAGAGTGTTAGGTAAGTATTTGCAGTGTGTTCCCATAGCTTGGCTATTCACGAGGGTCACAAAGACACCATGCGCCGTCAGGTAACTTGGCAGCTGCGTCCGCCCCCTGCTTTGCGTGTAGCTTGTTGTATGTTTGGCTCATGTTTGGCTGAACAACTGCTGATTTGCTGATTTTGTGTCGGAGTACGCCGCAGGCGTTGTTTGAAATAATTGAGTTCTAGCTTGTCACTTGTCACACTTGATGCCAAGAGACGCTTTGCGGTGAAGGGTCCGGCGATCCGTCCTAGTGACCTAGTGCTGTTTGACTTGATTCTTCCTTTTGTATCCTTTTGTTCTTTTATGTTCTTTTGGGTGCTGCATTGCTGTAACGGTGGGAAGCTGCTGTGACGTGCAAAGCCTGCATGCCAGGCACTCTACACGACTGGAACTTGCAAAGAGGCCTTAAACGTCGTACTTGGGCCCACATGAAGCCTTCTAACCACAGCTGTGTGGACAGGAACACTATCTCCAGATGCTGCGGGAACTGGTAGGCTCGTGACATGTGAGCATTCTGAATTGCAGAACCCTCTCGAGCGGTAATCGTTTTCTGTTGTAAATCTCCTTCGCTTGTGCTCTAAGAACACTCAAAGAATTGTGTAAAAGGGCTCCTCAACTTCCGAGCGGTGAGCGGAGCTGTCCGAGGAGTGGATGGCAAGGACATGAGGCGGGGCTGACTGGGGTGGCTTTCTTGAAGCAGCGTTCGTGGAGCATGACGTACAAAGTGCACTGCATGATGAACATGATCTGTTGTCATGAGCTTTGATGCTGGCTTTGGACTTGATTGCAATTGTCTCCGTAACATTTGTGACCGGCTTCCTATCCGCCCCGAAACTGGTGAAAAGAGGTAGGAAAAGGCTTGGCTGGAACTTTTCAACAACAACGGCCCTCGCAACCGTGCGTGGTCACACGGGCGGACTGCAGCTCAACTCTATGCGCCTCAGGGCTGCTACACATGGCCTCCAGCAGTGTCAGGCGGGTGGAAAATGGCTGGAGTCATGTGTTGTCCTGAGATGGTCGAATTCAATTATGCACACGTGCCCTACAGTTGCGATCTCCAGTTCTCCAGGCAGATCGTAGGCTCCCCTTGCGGGAATGAGTAGGATGAGCAGGCGGCACACTACACTGGCAAGCCACACATTCAGCATGCATTCGACGGCTCAAGCCCCAGGCCCAGCATCATGCAGCGTATAATTGTGTTATATATATATAATATAGTTATGTATAATCTGTCTGTGTGTATACCGATTTCAGAATAGCCGAATAGTCAGATTGCGCTTTGCAATCGCCAGCGTTGGCTGCGGTTTTAGATTTCAGTGCAGCGCACCACCGGATTCTTCTCGTGGCATGGCAGACATGACCGCGGTGCACTGGGACCCGGCACCATGCCTGGTGCCCATCGAAGTCGGAAGGCGGGAGGCTTCGGCCTGATCCAGAGTGCATGTGCTTTCATTTTTTACACCTAATACTAATACGTGTCAATGAGGTTTTCATAAGTTGTGAAGCTCACATACGATGTATATTATATATATATACTGTATAACATTATACAACATAAAGGTATCATAAAGGTATAAATTACATGTGCTTTGCATCACTCTTTGCGTAGCCCGTGAACGTCTTCGTCCTGAAGCTGGGCTCAAAGGAGAAGCCCCGTCGGCCAATGAGGGTGTGCCGGTCTTTTCGAGTGGGAAGAGCTCACAAGTCGACAGTGGCAGCTGTGCATGCTGCAGTGGCCCCCTTTGATGGAGCCAAGTGCGTGACAGCATCCATTCTAAATGCTGGAAAGCAGATCCGTGTAGGATTCGGAGATGGCTCTGCCTTTGAGTTGCATGGCCGCTGGCTCCGGGATTCGTGCAGAGATGCCGTGGTGGTTTCTCAACAGGCTGGTGAGAGGTACCTTGACAAAATCGCTTTCTCACCCGAGGGGCGTCACAGCAGTGGGGAAGTCGAGGAGCTGAGACTCTGCGAGGATGGCCTGGAAGTAGCTTGGAAAGGTGATCCTCAACTTGGGGAAGGCATGAGCCACTTTTCCAGTGGCTTCTTGAGGATGTATGCACCTGTTGCAGGGAAGGTGCTGGAGGGCCAGCGCCATCATCCCCGCAATGAAGACTTTCATTGGCTTCGAGGCTATTCAGGCTTCTCGAGAGCACCAGCACCAGATCTTTGCCTGAAGAAGCTTTGGAAGAACCAAGGGGTCACTGATCAGTTTGAGCATCGGAACTTCCACACGGTGAGGCATTCGGACTCTGCAAACTTGGAGATGATGCAGGCTGTCATGGAGCACGGTGTTGTTATCCTAGACAATGTGCCGCACTCTCAGGATTCTAGCATTTTGCTGGACTTTGTGAATCATTGCCTTGGGGGTATGCAAAAGGACCCAGCTCGAGAGGAGCCGAATTGGGTGATCCAAAAGAAGGCTGGTGCTGTAAGTGTCAGCTATGCTCAGGAAAAGCGCCTCCACAATCACACGGACCAATCAGTCCCTGCGCATGGCATTCCTGCCTTGGTTTTGGTGGTGAACTATGTGGAAGGTAGTGGTGTGAATACCTTGGTCGATGGATATGCAGTCGCTGAAGCATTGAGGGAGAGACACCCACAGGCTTTCCAGAAGCTGACGCGGTATGGGAACTGCCAAGAGCGAGATTTTGTGAAGTCGCGGGTCGACTCGTCACAGCAAGGGACTCAATCCATGCTGCTCGCTACAAGGAGCCCGATCATCCAAACAGATGCGCAGGGCAACTTGATCCGTCTTCAATTCAATGAGGTCTTTCGAACCCCAAGCACGGTGCCCTATGAGGTGTTTCAGGAATGGTATGACGCATACCTGCTGTGGAACGAGATGATCCACGGTTCAGAGTTTGAAGTGGAGGTTCCAATCTCACAGGGGCAGATGCTGATCCTGGACAATTGGCGTGTGCTGCATGGCCGTGCAGATAGGAAGAGCAGTCCCAACCGTAAGATCATGGGCGGCACGGTGGTCCGAGAGGCCTTCCACTCCAAAGCCGTTCAGCTCCTGGGCGGTTTTTACCCTCCGGAAGAAACTTGAGTGGCCTGAAGGGCGTGGAATGCACGTGACCGAGGGACGGCACCATGTCATGGTGCATTAAAGTATCTTGAGGCCGCACCAGCTTCTCAAGGCATTTCCGTCGGACCGTTTGCAGTGCATGGACGGAAGCTTTTGTTTCATAGGCCAGCTCTGCTGTATGTACACAAGGTTCATAGGCACCCGTGCCAGGGCGAACCTTGGCTCGGGTAGAGCACAATCCATCTCCTAATCTTCAAAAATATCTAAAACAATTTTCTCTAAAATGCATGCCTTCAAATTCCAAAGTCCAAATACCAATACAAAAGGACCTTGCACGCTGAGGGCCAAAAGAGCTTTGTGTGCTGGAGTGCAACTGGAGATCAACGATGGTCAATGTAACACTGATAGAATCAAATATATGTGTGCTTCTCTTCCACTGAATTGATATTGATAGTTCCTGAAATCTCCCAACTTTCAAGATGAAGCATATTGAAGCATGCCAACCATGGCCCTGGTCTGCGGGGATGCTTGCTTATTCCGTTTTGCCCAGGAGCTTCTGGCAGACCTTCGTCGCGCCGCGGAGCCGGAGGAGCCTGTGGTCCCAGTCGCCCAGCTCTTGGCGACGACCGAGCATCTCCTGCAGCTTCCTTTGGCTTCCCGAAAGGAGCCGGTTGGACATCACTCTGGGATGGGGCAAGTCAAACAACTTGGAAAGCGGGATTTACTGAAACGAACTTTGCGTGAAATTCGGCTTATCAATGGCAGTAACTCTGTAACTCTTGATTAATCAACCCCCTCCCCCTTCAACAGCCAAGGCCTCTAAAGTAATCTCTATATATATATTTTATATGCTAGAAAACGAATCAATTGCTAAAACAATTAGAATCATTACTTAGATACTAAAATTGCTAAAATAAATAGGGAATCAGTGGAAATGGAAATGGAACTCTTTATATAGATTTCAATGGAACTCTGAATCCAAAAACCTGCAAAATCATTCAACCTCAATGGAACTCTTCAAAATTTCAATGGACATCTGAATCCAAAGACCTTCAAAATCATTCAATCTCAATGGGACCCTTCAAACTTTTAATTGACATCCGCAACGCCAGGAACAGCAAGAGCAGCAGCACAACAAAGTAAAGGAATAGAAGGTAAGTACAGCAAATCAATGGGAAAAGAACATGAATAAAGATAAGTTCTTTTAAACCTGCAGTCCACATATTTTTGAAGCTTCAACTCTCTAGACATTATTCTAGGCCCCCCCCTGCAAATAATGTGAGAAATCTGCATCCAAAGACGTGCAAAACCATCAATTCTCAATGGACATCTCTAACAATTTAATAGAAATCTGCATCCAAAGGCCTTCAACATCACCAGTTCTCAATGGACATCTCCAGATTTTTACTAGAAATCTTTATAAATATCAATCCAAAGGCCTCTAAAATGACTAAATCCCAGCAAACTCCAAAGGGGAAACATTAATCTATAACAATCAAACATATCCCACTACAACGACCCCTCCCCCTGTGGGAACATATCCCACTACACTCCCTTAGAAAAAAGATATTATTCTGGGGGCCTTTATTAATCAGAGGTCAACATTACTTGTGTGGACATATGTCGAGATTGGAGGGACAGCTCTCTTCGGGTCTGATCGTTCCCAAGGACTTGGTGGTGGCAGTGGCTGTTTTGGGACAGCGGAACCTGTGGCAGGAAGCCATCCAACAGCTGCGCAGAGAAAGACCAGCAGGTGCCGGTGCTGTAGATGTCGATGGATTGACTAGGTAGGCTCTAATAACGGTAGTTGACAGTCGTGAAGGCCTCCTAACAGCTGCAGCAATCAGGAACTTGTTGTTTCAAGATTCACATGTGGAGATATTTGGAGTTACAATGAGTTTCAACATAACTTGAAGGATTAAATGATTTGAGCAACTGAGATGACTCTAAAGCCTCCCTTGTTTGATTTGAAGATGTAGCAGTTGAAGACACACCTAGAAAGCCGCGTGAGCAAGAGAGCACAATATCGGTTGGGGGGTTGCCTCGCGCGACACACAATCGGAGTCATACCAAGTTCCCACCTGGAAGCATGTACAGCATACCAGCGCATGGGCAAAGAAAGGAAGGAGACCGTGACGTCAATCATTGTTACTAGTAGCTTCTTGTTACTAGTAGCAATGCCAGGAGCCCCTAGTAGCTTCTTGTTACTACCAGTAAGGCACTTGTTACTAGTAGCTTTTGCTGATTTGTTCGCTTTTTCGCTGCTAGGTTTACGGCCGAATGTCATTTGCTACAATGCCGCTGCCGGTGCATGCAACAGGGCAGCCGCCTGGTTTTCTGCCCTGGAGGTTCTGGGTGACGCAGCTCAACTTGGGCTGCAGCTGGACAGTGCCTCAGTGAATCTTGTCGCTTGGATTGAAGTTGTGCGGTTTTGGGGTTCATGGAGTCCTCAGTTTATGCTGATTTTTCTCTGAAGTTCGATGCTGGGGCTGGAACCAAAGTTTCCCAGGCTGGTGCAGACCAAGTGCACTGAAGATCAACTTCTTTACACATACCTTCCAGAGAAATGGGGCATGTTCTCAAAATGAATGCCTGTTCGCAAAGCAGGTATGCAGTGCTTATGAGAAGGGGTCCTGCTGGAGATTTGCTTTGACTTCCTTGAGCAACTGGAGATCTGCTGGAGTTTGGGCCGCTTGGCGTCGCAGGGTCGACCATTCGCTCCTTTGGAACCAGCCTTGTCGCGCTTGTTTGAACCTGCGATCTCCAAGAAGGGGCCTTCCTTTTGTTCCAAAGGTTTTGGATTGAGCTGAGAAGATTCAGCTTGAAGGCCTTTGCGTTCAACCAAGCATCACAGCATCACTGACATGCGAGAGGCAATTCTCGACACCAGGCAGGTGCAGGCACGTGTGAGTATTGTAAGTCTCCGAGGCCTACAATGCTGCCATGTCATCTGGGGTTGCTTCATCTTCGTGGCAGCGGAGCAGTGCTCTCCTCCAGGTGGAGAGAGCAAAGATGTAGCAAAGTGAGACTTTTCTGTATGTATATATATATATATATGTGTGTGTGTGTGTGTGTGTCTATGTCATGTATTTAATTATGTATACCTTTGGTCATGCATGTGCGGATATCGGACCTGGGAATCCATTGCAAAGCCAGTTGCAGTTGGTGCCGGTGCCAGAAGGGTAGAGACTTCTGGGCTTGAACCCGAGCTGGCAGGTGATGGTTCGGTCAAGCTTGGAGCCATCTATGGCGCCTAGCCGCATGATTTTGTAAAGCTGAGCGGAACAGAATGGGCCTGTGGTGTTCAGGTGTTATGGCATAGTTTGGTGGTGAGGGCATGCGGCATGCGATGGCATGCGGCATGTCCGCTGGAAACACACCGAGGTGAGTTTGACTGCTACAGTTGCCTTGCCAGACGTGTCCTAGCCGCAGATGTCGGGACCGGGTGCCGCAGACATCGTGAAGATGTCGACGTCACGGGACCGACAAGATCCAACTCGACCGACGCATGTGAGGGCGGACGAATCGGTCCGAAGAAATCCGAAGGAACGAGATCTGGTTGCAAACCATGGAGCGCTACTAGGGGCTCCTGGCATCGCTACTAGTACTACGAGCAAGGACGCTACTAGGGGCTCCTGGCATCGCTACTAGGAGCAAGGGCCTTACTACTAGTAACAAGAAGCTTTTCTCCATGAAACTCCTGCATAGAATTGATATGTCCAATGGGATGCTCGCAACCCCAGCAAACTGGCCCTTGGAACTAACAATTGTCAGCAAAACACGCATCACTCAATGACATGTACTCCATTGGCATTGTTTGTAGCAACTATAGCTGTTTAGCAACCTCCCCCAGTGTGGAACATCAAAATCAGTTGTCAGTGAGCGCGTCAGGCTGTAGAAGCTGGTTGTTGGCTGCTGGCACTTCGGCTTTTCACTGACCTCCATCGATGGCAAGTACAGGCGGACTCTGCTGCGGGCAACGCGGCGATGACTTGTGGCTCTTGGCTTCACGCTGTTGCTCTAGGCGGGCGATGTCGTGTTTGATGTCTCGCAGTGGGCGATTTGGGCGGTTTCTGATTTCATGGGATTTCTCCTTTAGCGTCAATCTGTCTCTCCCTCTCTCCTTCCCTTCCTTTGTTGGTTGCACGTTGTTGGTGAAGTGTCTATGAGTTACTGAGCGCGAAAGCAGTGTTGCCGATTTTGAAGGTGAAGAGGTCTCACAGAAGAGCTTAGACCTGAGCTTGCGAGGGCACAATGCAATCATCCATGCTGCAGGGCAGGGAAGATGGCAGATGGCCATTTGGAGCTTGGGCCGATTGGGCTCTCGAGATGTCATTAGCTTCAATAGTGCCATCACAGCAGCCGAAGCAAGTGCTCAGTGGCCGAGGGCCATGCAGCTGCTTGAAGAGATTTGTGGTCTAAGCAAGCCGACCTCTATCAGCTTCAATTCTGTGATGAGTGCTGCTGGTGCAGGCCAGACATGCACATGACATGATGTCGCTTTCTGGAACAAGCTTTTTCTCACTGCTTAGACCAGATCAAGTGCCGGCAAGTCTTGAGTGCGAGGGGTCCCTGTTGCTAAGGTCAACGGTGGAGAGAAGTACTACACTTCAGAAAGACGACAGAGATCCTTCAGCTCCATGGAGATGTTATTGGCTTCGCAACCCTCTTGGGCGCTTTTCAGCATTCACTCGATTGGGACAACGCCAACTTCTTCTTGGCGGAGGTTGGGGATGTTGGACATGGTTGGACATCAACATTGAGATTTGGGATGATTGGGATGCAACAATGCAACCTATACGTTCACCACCACCACCACGACGACGCCGGCGGCGATGACTACTACTACTACTACTACTACTAGTACTACTACTACTACTACTACTTCTACTTCTACTTCTACTTCTACTGCTACATCATCTACTACTACTACTGCTACTACTACTGCTGCTGCTGCTACTGCTGCTGCTACTACTACTGCTACTGCTACTGCTACTGCTACTGCTGGTGCTGCTGCTGCAAATGCTACTGCTACTGCCACTACTACATTTGGCACTGTACTAAGCACTAGGTGCTAGATTTGAACTGCTCAAGCCCTTCTACTCTAAATCATACTTGATGGTCCTTGAATGTGCACAAAGTCTGCAGCTCCAGGCAAGGCACAAGCGCATCAGCACCACCACTTCTGGCCACAACGCAGCGTTAATGGCATGTCAACAGAAATGGCTCGCGGCGCTGGACCTCCTAAGCCGGATGAAAGGCCAGAGCAGTGCATTCGGTGCGGGGCAGGTGTGTGATGACTCGGGACCAGAGATTTGTGGAGTAGTATCCGATGAAACTACACCTGCATCTGGATGTCGGAGTAGCATAGCTTTCACCTGTGGATGTCAGTTTCACTTGTGCAAATCCCGCTCACTTGGCTTCTTGTGTCAGGTGTGCGATCTGATGATATCACTTTTGCAGCGGCAGCTGTTTCATGTCAAGAGGCGCTGGCATCCATGACATCGAATGGGCATGTTTTCACGAAGCACAACATGTTGAAATATGGCAACACGTGGCTTTTCGGTCATTACTGTAGAAACTCTTCCCTTCCGCCGGTTTCTTTTTTCAATCGCCGCATACACCCAAACGCTGCCAGGCAAGCCAATGGCAAGAAGTTGTGGCCTTGCGGTTGAGGTCTTGGGCTGGAGGTCTGGATCGATCGGCTACCTTGGGGGACAGAATCAGTGAATCATGGATCTAATGGCAGAAAGTGTGCTTGCAGAGAAGATTGTCATAGATTGATCTACTGCACTTCTATGTGCTACATGACAATGTTCCTCTCATGGAGTTGTACTGGACAAGGTCAAGCAAGGTGAAGCACCAATGCTCGATTCACAAGGTGCGGAGATGGGTTTGCTACTGCAAAATGCTGCGCATAGTGCTTGGCGGCAAGCACGACGGTGGCAGAGCTCAGTGCAGATCCTGGGCCTGTGTGTGTAGAGGGCGTTGCTATTTTTATGTGTATGTTTGGTTGTTAGGAACGTAGGGTGAGTGATGGTGAGTGTAGTGATGTGTAGTGGCATAGGTGTGCTCGAAACTAGTGAACGAGCTGACTATTCCCCGAGTTGCGTTGTTTGAGCAGTAGCAGGGAGCAGCATTTCAGCCACTGATTTGCTTGCCATGTTGAAGGGGTCAACACAAACAAGTGCTGGTGCTTTGCACACAAAGCTGCATCATTGGTCGTTCCCTCTTGTTGATGCAGTAGGTGTCCATCAATCAATTCAATACGCAACAGATCACGTTGCCTACTAATCATTATATAAGATGCTAGACTGGTGGACTACATCAATTGCACCCTTGTGCCTAAAGCCATGGGCCATGCCCAAAATCTGCGCCGTTTAGAAGATACAGGTGATGGAACAGTTAGTTGATTAGGGTGGAGGGCATTGCTAAATTGTTCTGCTTTTCTGCCATTGGTGACGATAAAATTTTTTTCTTCACTGGTCAAAGTCAGCGACAAGGCTGCTTCAAGAGATGCAGGACTGGGTGAAGCCTCGAACCATTGACTGCGACAGTTCATTTGCATCCTTGTCAAGGTGACACCTAACCGGTTAGAGTCTACTCTTTGCCCTTGAGGATTAAACTCCGTTTCAGAAACTATGCACGTTTCAGCAACCATGCACGTGTTTCACGCTTCTGAAACTACATGCCTGTCAAACACCACAATAGCTTCTAATGCAACAGCATGTGACTTTGTGTAGACACTTGCCGGGGTTGGAGCGTTCTTTGTGATTGCGGCAGTATCTAACTCTGTGTCCATAGACGCTTGCTGGCTTGGAGGCGGTTCTGAAGACAACAAGAAGTTTTCGAAACATGGTTCCAGAAACACATATACACCGGTATTCTTGATTCAAAACATGTCCAACACATTCCAAACGCTTTCCAACAATGTAGGCTGTTTCCGAACCATAGTTTCAGAACCATGGTTTCAGAAACTTTTATCTACCGCCATTGAGCTTCACTCCCCATGGCTGGAGAAGTGAGCTGAAAGACTCCAGCTCCTGCCTGCAGGAGGAGAACCTACTACCTGATATGGTGAGCTTTGCTGAAACAGTCGAGGTAGGGCCCGAAGTGATGGTGTTCCTCTCATGTGGGATCGAGCAGCGCTAGAGGCACTAGAGAGAAAGAGAGAGAGAGAGAGAGTCAAGATACTGGACCACTTGGTTCCATTGGTTGCACATGTTCATTTCCATTGCCAGACCTGCGAGATGGGTGGACAGCCGGGCCCAGCGGCCATCATTCTGAATCTTTGCAATTCTCGGGCTTGGCTGTGCCTTGGTGAAACAAGGATGGGATGATTTGAAGGCGCCATGGGATGGTGAATATCCCCACCACCGGGGATTATTCATGGGGTCTTGCAAAACTAATAGGCGGACGGGCGCCGTCGGGTCACCGTCAGAGCTGGTGGGCGGATGGTGTCCCGGTCATATTTTGATGGCGTCCGGGTCATGTGATGCCGGTGTCCCGGTCATGTTTTGATGGTGTCCCGATCATGTTTTGATTGTGACCCAGTCATGTTGTGATGGTGTCCCGGTCCTGTTTTGATGGTGTCCCGGTCATGTTTTGATGGTGTCCCGGTCATGTTGTGATGGTGTCCCGGTCATGTTTTGAAGGTGTCCCGGTCATGTTGTGATGGTGTCCCGGTCATGTTGTGATGGTGTCCCGGGCATGTTTTGATGGTGTCCCGGTCGTGTTGTGACGGTGTCCCGGTCATGTTTTGATGGTGTCCCGATCATGTGATGGTGGCGCGGTCATGTTGTGATGGTGTCCCGATCATGTTTTGATTGTGTCCCAGTCATGTTGTGATGGTGTCCCGGTCCTGTTTTGATGCTGTCCCGGTCATGTTTTGATGGTGTCCCGGTCATGTTGTGATGGTGTCCCGGTCATGTTTTGATGGTGTCCCGGTCGTGTTGTGACGGTGTCCCGGTCATTTTTTGATGGTGTCCCGGTCCTGTTGTGATGGTGTCCTGGTCATGTCTTGGCGGTGTGCCGGTTATGTTTTGATGGTGTCCGGGTCATGTGACGGTGTCCCGGTCATGGAGTCATGTTGTGATGGTGTCCTGGTCATGTTGTGATGGTTTTCCCGTCATGTCATGTTGGTGTCCCGGTCACCTTGTCATGGTGTCCCGGTTATGTTGTGATGGTGTCCCAATCATGTTGTGACGGTGTCTCGGTCATGTTTTGATGGTGCCCTGGTCATGTTGTGATAGTGTCCCGGTCATGTTGTGATGGTGTCCCCGTCATGTCATGCTGGTGTCCCGTGCTGGGCTAATTTGATTGTGTCCCAGTCACGTTGTGATTGTGTCCTGGTCATGTGATGCTGGTGTCCCGGTCGTGTTGTGATGGTGTCCCGGTCATGTTATGACGGTGTCCCAGTCATGTTTTGATGGTGTCCTGGTCATGTTTTGATGGTGCGCCGGTCATGTTTTCATTGCAGCCCAGTCATGTTGTGATGGTGTCTCGGTCACGTTGTGATGGTGTCCCGGTCATGTTTTGATGGTGTCCCGGTTATGTTTTGATGGTGTCTCGGTCATGTTGTGACGGTGTCCCGGTCATGTTGTAACATTTGTAACTGTGTCCCGGTCGTGTTGTGATGGTGCCCCGATCCTGTCTTGATGGTGTCCCAGTCATGTTTTGATGGTGCCCCGGTCATGTTGTGATGTTGTCGCAGTTATGTGATGATGGTGTCCAAGGAAGAGATGGTCGATGCGTTGAAAACAGCAGCTGTTTCCAGATTTTGTTTTTTGTCCATGTGTGTATCTTGCTATTGTGGCCTCCAGCTGGGCTAATTCAGTTTGATTTTTGGGTGGAAGTCGGAGAAATTGAGCAGTCTTGTTGGATCTTGTTGGCACCTCTAGCTGCAGCAGCTGGACATGCAAGTAGAGCATTTTCAATGAACTCAACAGCCAGATTGGCATTGATCATATTATGTGGGCGGCCCCCCGCCTTCCAACCCCCTTTGTACGACCTGAAGAGGCATTTTGCCTCTCCTCGTGTCCGCGAATTCTCGTACACTAGCAGGCCATGAGAAGGGCTGATCGCCACATTCTTGTGGAGATGACGGAGGTGACCAGAAAGGAGAACCACGCGCCCATGGTCCACACAAAGGGATTTCAGTGGATCAGACCAATCAGATCTGATGAGCTTGAACGCTGGTGGTTGCCATTTGGACGTCTTCTCAGATGGTTTCCAAGGAAGCCTCGAGTGACACATCAGCAAAGGTTTCTTCGCAAGCGGGTGCGAAAAGTTCTTGCAGATGCCTGCAAGCCACAACAGCAACGAAGGTGATTCCATACGCTGAACCAGCTTTGAATTCCGGTTCTTGGACGGGAGCTGACATGTTCCAGTCAGATCATGAGTCAGGAAGTTTTTGTCATTAATCGCTGGTTCCGCGTCCAGGCACCTCCAGCGGTGTGTGAACTTGGAGCCTGGCTCTCTGATATCCAGAAAGCGCTTGAAGAACATTCGCACGAAAGTTCTTTATATAATTTTAATAACTATGTAACTATGTACATAAATATAAATACAAATCTAGAGCTGGACATGGGCTTGCAAAACAAGGGATGGCAAGAGAGTGGGCTCTAAATGGCTTTCATAAATAGACAAACAACCCACCAAATATATATAACTAAAAATACGATTGTATGTTATAACTAAACGTTTGTTTTGAAACATATGTATATGTATATGATTGTACATGTAGGTCATAACCATAAAGGTCTTGCCACTCAGGGGCCTTCTGAGCCATTCTTTGCAGTGGTTCGTTGATTGAATAAACGCCATGCGCAAGGCAAACTGGAATTCAGCGACCAAGCCGAACCTTGCAGAAGCCTAACACGTTCTGTTAGTATGTCTTTATATATATATACACAGATTGTGCAGAGCCTTCCACAGTTGTTGAGTAAATGAATGTTGATCAACACCGAAGATCGGCATATGCGTCTCATAGCTTCTGATTCTGACTACGACTCTAGACTTGAACAGGGCAAACGCCGCAAAAGACCAGAAAGACACCTCTGAGCCGCTTGCATCTCATGTCCCGCACCGGCCATGGCTATGCTGGAACGACCAATGGTGTTACGACGGATGCCGGGTTGGGGAAGAAGTTCTCTGAGGCCATTTCTGCGAATGCTCGCGAAAAGCAGCCGCCTTCCCAAGCTTTGGTAGAGGACGGAACTTAGGAACAATTACGACTGCAGTCAGCTCATCAGATTCATCAGCATTAGACTAGACTCTAGACATGCAAAACGTGTGCATGCCTTGAAATATTCCATGCAGCTCATCCACGTGCATTGATTTCCTCTTCATTTTGAGGATCCAATGAAGGCTCTTGACAGGTCCCTAATGGTACCTATAAATTTGGACGCTTCTCCCAGGATGGCCGGAGATTGCTCGAAGCTTTAATGGAGGCCTACATGGACGCAGAGTTCCAACGTGAAGTCTGCCGCTTGCGAGAGGAGATCCACGATGAGCTCCGCTTCCTCACGACATTGGGCCCTCTGGCAGCGAGAGCGCAGGAACCAGTCTTCCAATGCTTTGGTCGCTCGGACAAGATCTGATGAACAAATCCTTGGTAATTACCTACTTCAATGTCGTGTGCCATTGGCCGGCCCCACTTGCCTGTCCGTCTTCAGTTGCTTTAGTGTTGGTCCGGTTAGAGGCCATGAATTAGAAGCTGGGCAAAGAGTTGTTAGATAGATAGATAGATAGATAGATAGATAGATAGATAGATATAGATAGATAGATAGATAGATAGATAGAGAGATAGAGAGATAGACAGACAGATAGACAGATAGACAGATAAACTGATAGACAGATAGATAGGTCATACTATATCTCTATATGTATAGCAACTCGATGTATATGTTATTGTTGAAATTAGACACACAGAGGGAGAGAGACAGACGGACGGACGGACGGACAGACAGAGAGACACACAGACAGAGAGAGAGAGGGAGAGAGAGAGAGTGCTCTCCTGGATCTGAGGCCTTCCGCCTGGGCAACGTGGGGTGATATTGATGAAGATGGGTGTGCGTTTGCTTTCCACCGTGTCGCCGGACATCAAGGAATTGGCTGGCGACCTGAGAGAGTTGCTGTGCTTGCCGCGTGAGGAGGAGGACATCACCAGCACCATTAAGAAGCTCGTACGTACTGTGAATCGGCTTTGTGACAATGTCAGACTGTAAGGCTTTGCTTGTCTGTTGTCGTGAGCCTCACAAGGTGTTTAAGACTCGAGGCAGACCAGGCCTGCACGAAAACGGACGCACAAAGGGAGGCACAGAAACTCAAAGCTTTAAATCGTAGTTGTTCGCCAATGAAGGAAGGCGGAATCCGAGTTCCAAGATCTGCAGCAGAAGATCGCTGCTGCGCCTCTAGAGCTCCGAGGGCCCTTAGCGGAAGCCTTTCTCTTGCCCTACAATGCCAGCCCAGTGGAGATCGCCCAGGCAGTGCCTCGTTTGCCCAAGCGTGCCAAAGAGATTGCAGATCACCACATGGCGAGAGGTCGTCAGGAGAGCCGGGACGTCACGTCCTTCGTGAAAAGAACATACTTGGAGGGGCCCTTACCTTCTTTGTTTATTTTTTATTTTTCAATTCAATGCATATGTTTTTTTAAAGTTGACCATGGGAGATCTTGCGTTCACTTTGGTATGCTTTGATTTTTCAGGATACCCTGACCACTGACAAGGACATCATCGGAGAAGGGAAGCTCTTGGGATCTGACATGGCACATGCCAGCGACGAAACTTTGCAGGCCAAAGTGCAAGACATGTTTGAGCGCTATTTGCAGAAGATGCTGAGTCGCGTGATCACCCCCCTCGACTCCTACACACGGGCTCCTGAAGATTTTGCGTGCTCATGGGCGCGAGATTTGGTGTCAAAGCAGACCATCCAAGACCTATGGGGAAGCCAGACCTGTCAGACAGCCACTCTTCCCGTCCGGGATGTTGTGGAAGATTTGTCTTCCCAGCTGGGCTTCAGCCACGGGGTGGCCATTCTCAACGACACCGTCAGTGTCAAGGTGACTCGCCAAGCCCGCGAGGAATTGGCGGCACTGGAGACTGCTGGCGCAGTGACCCCCTCACAGGATCCGTGCCACATGGACAAAAACGTGTCGATGAATGGGGTTAGGACATGTTAGGACGCTGGTGGAGGAATTGGTGGAGGATATGGAAGATTACAATGAAGCACTGCATAGTAATTACTGCTATCAGAATCTATGTAGATAGTGCAACAACTCCACTTTGGAGTGGAGCTACCTTTGACCCAGGGCCCAGTGGTGTCTTTTGCTCAGACTCAAGGTGCAGCTCTTGCTCTAGGCTTGCATCCGATGCCGCCCGCTCGCTTGCATCAGGTAATGTTGGAGCGCGTTCAGTTTGGCTGCACTTCGAAACTGCGGAGGAGCGGGAGAAATCTCCGCCAGCCCTGCGAGAGCTATGCGAGCATTTGCTAGGAGCGGCTTGCGGAGCGGCCTGCGGTTTGTGAGCTTGAGCAATTTAAGATTTTGATAGAGTTTTAATAAGTGAAAGTGACGAATTTTGGTAGCGAGTTTTTTTTTCTGTGTTTTAACAGGGAAGGATGAGAAGAAAAAGCGGGATGAGAAGCAGAAGGAGGACGAAAAATGATGAGAATGATGGATGAGTGGACCGGAAGATATTGGATACTGACCAAAATGAACGTAAATTGATAAGCAATTATATATATAGATATATTTATAATAGTAAACAATTTATATGACAATTTTATAGTTATTCTTCTGGGGCAGCTGGGCTTGATTAACATGGTGGGGTTCTGGCCAGGAAAAACTTATTAGGGGGATGTCAAGGTGGAAATTCAGGTCTTAAATTAGTTTAGTCTTGGGGGCTCGAGCTGGGATTGATTAATAGGGGGTTCATTAATCCTATGTTGACGTTACCGGATCTATGAACTTGTGCTACACGTGATGCCTTTGGAGCAACAAGGGAAAACTAGGGGCAAAGTGCACTACATATTACGTGATGCGAACATTTTCATAGTTTATAGTTGTGTTTGTGAGGCGTTTAAAGTTTAGCCTATTTGTAGGACTCCCTCATGCCCTACTTGCTGCAGCTGAATCCAATTCTGTAGTGGCTTCACGCTTGCGTGTTCACCCGCACATCATGGCAGCAACTTACCGCCGTGGCGCAGAATATCATTGCCACAAAGATAGCTACAGCGGTACCGACAACTCAAGAAGCTCGTTAGATTTCATGAAGTCCATCAGTTTGTTTCGCCTCCAACCAAATATTTAATAGCGATGGCCTCCAACCTAATAGCGAAGTCCATCAGTCTGATTCAGTTTGATCGTATCTCTTTCGGGGAGTTGCTGTAATGCCTTTCGAGATCTTTCCTTGCCCAATTGAGGCCCCTTCGTCCCCCGTCAGCTGTTTCTGGAAGTGGCCTTAAGGAATGGTCACCATTTTGCTGTACCTCAACGACTGGCAGCCTGGGGATGGTGGCGAGCTACGACTCTTTGGCACTAAGCAGGTGGATGCTGACGTAGGAACTGGTCCAGGACTCCGGGATGCAGCATCAGCTCCAGACTTGGAGCGCTTTGTGGACGTGGCGCCCTTGAGCGGCCGGGTCGTGACTGGAGGTAGAAGATTGCAGACTTTACTGTGGCCCCAACTGGCTTTGCAGGTTTGTGCACGTTTGAACCAACACGGTTTCATCCGCTTCACCTCAGGTGATGTTTCGGTCAAGGGAGATCTGGCATGCTGTCCGCGAGCCACGGGAGCAGCGCTGGGCCATGACCTTGTGGGTGATGGCAGACTAAAAGGGCGGTGCAATCTGTGCGGCTCCGAGAGGTGTTGTGAGGTCTATACAGGTGTTTTTTTTTTTCCCGGGGGTGTCGGGCACAACGACATGTGCAGCACTCACACGAAGCAATCATCTCCGGACTATTCCGGACTGGTTTGGGCTTGGGCCGTGGGCCAAGCACATTGTCCCATATCAAGGATGGGTATGGAAGCCAAATGGTGCTTTAGAACTTTAGAATCAAGTTCCGTCCATAGCCGTTCTCCGTGGTGCATGGGGCATGCTAGAATTGAGACGATTGGCCTCTTGGCCCGGTAATTGCCGGTACAAGCTGAGGCCATTGCAGTTTGGAGCTCAGGTTGGAGGCCATCGCAAGTAGGGCAGAGGCCATCGCCATTAGAGAGACTTTGTGTGCCGTACTCGCATCCCACTGAAGAGTCTCAAACATTTGGCGGTGAATACATAGACTTCAGAGGGAGGTTCTGGATGTTGCAGCTTAGACATTTGAGGTGCTTCTGCTGGGGGGCAGGGCGGGCAGCGCTGGGATTGCTTCGTGGGTGCGCTGAGAGACAGTGAGGATCAGTGAGGGGGAGAGTGTGGCAGAGAGAGGGAGAAAAGGATGTTAAGGTTAAGGGTATAAATGTATCTTGTATGGACATTTATAACTATATTATATGATCGTTTTTTCCACTCTTACTACAGTACCAGACCTGAAGCATCGGCGGACATTCCAATGCAGTTTTGGTGGGAGCAGCGATCAACCCTAATGTCAATACTTTTGGGCTCTTCACTTCACCTCATTTGCTTGCTGTTGTCTGCCAAACCTTGCTTTGCTTTCAAGGCTGTGATGGAAGCAAACTGCAGGGCTGGCTCAAGGCCCTCCTGGAGGCTTAATTCGGTCTCAAATACCAATATTGATACTATTTCTAGTGGTCGTTCCAGGCCCTGCCAGGAACAGTTTTGAGCTATGGTGAAGATGGTGGATGAGGAAGCGCCTGCGGCCAGCTACACATCCTGCCAAATGGGCGCCTTGATTTTCGTCACTGGGCTCAGCCTGTTCAACTTCAGCTACACCGCTTCCAACATTGGAGGTGTGCTCTTATACATTGACCGCGCACATACAGACTGCTCCAAAGACGCCATTTGCCTCGACAGCTCTTTGATGAAGGGCATTTTAGTTTCCTCCTGCTTAGTTGGCGCATTCTCCGGTGCTTTGTTCGCTGGCACTTTGGCAGTTCGATACGGACCAAGGACAATTCTCCTGGCGAACAACTTCTTCTTCATTGTCGGGTCAATCAGCAGCGCGTTGGCACCAGGCATCCTGTGCCTGATCCTTGCCAGATGTGTTGTTGGCATTGGTGTCGGCATTGCTTCAGCCCTGGTCCACGTGTACATTGGAGAGGTTGTGCCAGCTGATCGGCGTGGTGAACATGGAGCTACACTGGTGATGATGGGCACAGGAGGGATTCTGGTGGCCAACCTGACCTGCTGGTTACTCTCTCACCATTGGCGCTGGGTCCTGGCACTTGGATGTGTGCCGGCCATGATTCAGCTTGTTTGGGGTTCAATGATCATGCCCGAGTCGAGTTCATGGAGTGCGCCACGTGCCAACTGTGGTCGTTTACGTGCCCTTGAAATGGTATGCCACCAGAATTCAGATGAAAGAGACCTCGAGAATCCAGAGGATAGTGAAAAAAGCGACGACACTTGCCTTCTTGAATCTGGTGCTGGTTGGTCGAACTTGTGGCAGTCGATTCTTACCGGGCAAGCAATCCCGCCTTTGATCATTGGCTGTGGTCTGCACGTGTTGGCACAGGCTTCTGGAATCAATGTAATCATCTACTATGGGCCAAAGATGTTTACGCTTGCAGGTCTTCCAAACTCCACGGCCGTTTTTGTGAGCGCGGGCATCAGCTTTGCACAAATGTGCTCAACCTTGCTGTTGTCACGCATGGTGGATCGGGTCGGACGAAAGCCAATGAGCTACATTGGACTTAGCTTCATGCTTCTGAGTCTATGTGGCATTGCTTGCAGCTACTGGCTGCCTCCAAGCCATTTGGCTGGTTGGCTTGCCCTGGTCTCATGTTTCTGCTTTCGGGTGGCCTTCTCCGTCTCTTTGGGGCCTTTGCCATACATCATCACGGCAGAGATCTTCCCGGAGCCCATTCGAACCCCAGGAGTCTCCTTCTGCCTCGCAGTGAAGTGGGTGGCAAACTTTGCCATCGCATTGAGCTGGTTACCCCTGTCTGAGGTGGGTGACGTTGATGTTCGATTCGGCGTCCAAAATGCTTGGACATGTCTCACAAAACTAATGTATTAGTTATTCGCTAAAGTTCAGTTTGCCCATACCATCATTACTACCATTACCTTACCAACACGCCCAATAGGAATCAATAGGCCCGTAGGTAAGTCGGTGACCGCGACGCGCTAAAAAGACTGCCGGGAGGTGTTCACCTTGGCTGGCACCTTTGTTCTTTACTTTGCCATGTGCGTGTTGAGCATTTTCTTCTTGGCCTTCTACGTCCCAGAGACCTCGGGCAAGACCTTGGGGCAGGCGTCCCAAGCGGTGTGGAAGAAGTTGCAGGATACGAGCGATATGAGCCCCTGAGGCCCTTCCCAGTCAAACTCAACAAACCTGTTTGCTGGAAGAGGTGTAGAGGCACCTTGGAAATCCGTAGAATTTATCAGCAACTGAAACCTGATGCTGTGCATGATGTCTCACCAAACTTCGGTGCAGCCTTTTCGAAACAAAAGGTTTCACTGATGCCAATGCTCCGAGAATACCCCGCCTCGGAACCAGGAATGGACATGAATTGACTGAACTGGACAGATGAGATCTGCTGGAAGTCTTCCAATAGACCTTAGGACCATTGTGCTTTGATCTTGCAATATCTTACACGCAGGTACATAGATCCGAACTTGAAATGAACGTCGATCCTTGTCTTCGCTCTTGAAGTTCCGTGTGGCACTGTGAGATAGTTCCTTTCGAATCCATTCGATGCCAATCCAGTAATACCCGTGGCTGACGTGGAATCGTTGGCACTTCTTCGCCGCCTGTCCCGCGACAGAAGGCACAGTCGTGAAATGATGTGAAAAGAGGTGTGTGCTGCACAGTACAACTAACGAGGTCCAAGCCCGCCTGTTGCCTGTTGCCCAAGCCAAAAGGAGAGTCCGCGCAGCTTCCATGACCTGTAATCTGAGGAGTCTGAGAACCAATATCTTTTTCTTTTGTCAAGTGCTTTGAGCTGTAGCCGCTCACAATCGGACTCTTTACCTTTAGCGTTGGTCTCATATCCGACACAGACAATGCTGCAGCCGTTGGCATCACCAGGTTAGACCAGAGTGGAAGCGATTTGCAAGAGCACAAGGCCATTGTTTTCCCGAATGCGTAGCGAAGGGTTCTCGTTTAACTCTGGGGGTCTGGGGGTAGAGCCTTGTTCGCGGCATTGTTTGCGATGCTTTTTGTCACGCATACGATTTGCAAAATGCATCGGCTGTTGCCCCGCCACCAGGTGATTAAGACCTACGCGGTGCGTGGGAGTGAGAAGAAAGGCACGGGGTCTCCTGGTTTCTGATGAGAAACAGCCTCACTCAACCATATTCAAAATATTTCAAACTTATGAACCGATGAACCACAAAGCTGTGACGAGGAGGTACCCAATCCAGGTGAGGTGAGAATCTCCTTGGTCAAGGATTGGTGTATCAGGATCATTCAAGATTTGTCAGGCAAAGCGTGGGGTGAAGCTGGGTTCTGGCCGTGACATGGCCCCATTCCAGCTTGTATATTTTCCACAGTCGTCAAACATGTCCAAAGAATTCGCAAGAATCCGCAAAGTGACAGGACTTTATTCTTTGCACGCCACTCCGGGACATTAATGCAGTCCGGAGACAGCTTTTAGAGTACAGTAAGAGCAGGGCTCTCGCCGCTCTTGCCGGTTTCCCACAGTATCTTCAAAATATAAATGTATAGGTCTCAGTCTCGTCCGAAGACCCGATGGGTGGGCCTCTTCTAGGTGGTGCCGAGGTCGACATCCGCAGTTTGACGTCCGTGGTCAGGCACTGGTCGCTTCCAACTCTTTGAGGACGCCAAGAAACGCGGCAGGGGCTGCAAGTCCGAAGGGGCCAAGTTGCGGCGACAGAATGCAGGGAAACTTGGCAAAGGAAAACAGAAAGAGGAGCTGTGAAACTTGTTGAAACTCTTCACTCCGAGGCTTGCCGGCTTGTTGATCTTGTTGTGCCTGATTGATTTTACTGAACAGCTTGCAGATGCTTTGGAGACGTGCGGGTCAACCTTTGTGCCAGCCTTTGTCGTGCTTTTGAGGCCATTCGATTCTTTGAAAAGATCAATGCCAAGTGAGGGGCTAAGTTAGCTGGCTTATAGTTTCTTCCATTGCTGCTCATGGCAGAGCCTTTCAGAAAAGTGGATAAGTGAGGAAGGTGGCGTCATGATGTCAATGGCACAAGGATTCTCCAAGGAAGCTCCCCCCACCGGCTTGAAGAAGCCTGAGCCCTTCTGTGTCACGTCCACTAGTAGCCAGTAGCTACTTTCGTTACTGGTAGCTTACAGAGCTACTCGTGCGGCCTACCACCACCCCCGGGCTAAAACCATGTGCAATGCAGAACGTCACTGTCCAGATCCGCACAGACCTGTTGCCGGCAGTTGTGGTTGATGGGTTGACGTGCAGGTTTGCTGAATGGGGCCAGGCGCCAAGCTGCAAGTTGCAATAGCAGAGAGCAGCAGCCAAGCACAGTTCAAGAATGGATACACTCATGGCAAAAGGTAGCACTTACCATCTACGAGGAGGGAGTGGATGGCTAGCGGTGTCGCAGAGTGAATGGATGCAAGAATGGGGCCACTGATTCAATGTATCACAGTTTCCCCTATGCCCTATGCGGCCTATGCGAGCATGCTGACCGGAAAGCGGCACTGCGGAAAGCCCTCAACTCCAAGGATCTGAGTTGCAGCGCTTGAGGAAAGAAGAGCCTGAGCTGAGCCAGGCGCCACCACAACCTGAGAGATGTCTACCTTTCAATGATCCGAATTTCCGATTTCCCATTGCACCGTTTTGGTGCTAGCAGAACGCATTGGGGCGTGGTTGATTGGGTGATTGCAGGGGATTAGTGAATTGTGAAATCCTATCGCAGCCAGTGCTGAGTTGCTGGGAGTTCTGTCGCCGATCATTCAGGGTTTGTGCCGAGCCTGGCCGCCCAGTGTCGCTGGGAGCCTCAGTCAGCGAGAATGGATCCTTATGGCATGCCAAATTGCACGTAAGCGTGCACATAGCGAAACATGGCTGTGGCGTGAAACTGTAGCCGTCCCATCTTTGCTGCAACCTTACAAAAGGGTACTGTAAAACTGTATACTGTATGTTTTCTGATTTCATAAACAAGTGCCTTACTAGTAGTAACAAGAAGCTATTAGAAACAAGTGCCACTCTACTAGTAACAAGTGCATCGCTAGTAACAGTTTTCTGATTTCGCTTGCCGAGTTGCACCGTTCAAAACCGAACTTGCAGGGTGACCTCTCAGTCCGAGTGGGGCTGACAACCTGCCTGGCAGGTCTTTTTCAGCGGAGACCTGCGACTTCGTAGACTCTTGCTTGCTGGACTCCAAAGCCAGAGCTATGTGGCTGCTGTACTAGTTCATAAGAAGGAAGACTGGAGAAAAATGGAATTCCAACAATGATGATTCTGCGTGAAGTGCTTACATTCCCTATAGGTCCTGTAGACTATACAGACGGGAACTTGTCCTTTGGCTACACAAAGGAAAGGTGACCAGTTCGCTTGAAGACTGAGGATTGTAAGAATCCACGCTGTCCGCTTCCAGATGCCCGGCTGCCATGATTGCAGACGGTGGGTTGCCATCAGAGACAGGAGTGTGCGAGATAGAGAGCTAAACAGCATCTAAACAGCAGGTTGGTGATGCCAATTCACCTGCTTATGGATCTTATGGATCATTCAGGTCTCGCAAGCTCTTGATGCCCCTGAGCGCTGGAACATGTCATTGATTTCGAGGAAGACAACCGTAATTCGTGGATTACAGTGCTCAGGCATGCACAGGTATACACTTGGCAAACAAACTTCTCGCGTTTCTGCGGTCCGCTGACAACTTTTCGCCAGGAGAGAGGTCTTTGGATCAAAGTCCCTGGACCCTACGGTGACTTGGATCCGAGCCTGGAGGCGTAGAGCCCTGTCGGCTTGTGTGTGTGTGGGAATGATTGGACATGCAGCGATGTGTGTTGAAAGGTGAAGTGCGTGCAGCTTGGGGAACAGCACAATGCGATAGATAAAGTGATAGATATGATAGATAGTTATATATTACGCATATGCTTCGCCCCAGAGCCATTTTAGGTTGATAGCTCTAACGGCTTGGCCACTGTCCTTCATGGTGAGCTCGTTGTTTCTTCTCACGGGCCTTAGCTGCTTGGTGTCAGCGGCATGCCATCCTGGCACCTGGGATGGCGAGGTCATCATGAATGAAAATGGAGCAGAGCTGCCTGACCTATCAGGTGAATGGGCTGAAGGGGAGGGCAGCTTTCAGTTGCGAATCTTCCAGCCAGCAGAGGAGCCCGCAGCCGCTCCTAACAGTAGCTATGCCCGCCTTCTTGCGAATGGCCATGTGCTGGAGGTCTGCAAATTGGAGCCCATTTTCTCCTATGAAACTCGGGAGCGCCTGAGGACCACCATTCGTTGTGCACGATCTGCACATGGCTGGCGTGGCACGCAAGAACGCCAGGGAATTGTCTTGAATGCCAGCCATGTTGCTTGGTCGGATGGGTGCTGGATGAAGAATGGTCCAGGAGAGACCTTGGGCCGGTTCACGACTCCGCGGATTCACAAGGTGCATGTCGTTTTCATGAGCCTTGCCATACCTTTGCTGTAACGATTGAATCAAGGTTAGCTCTATTTTGTGTATGTTGTTTGTCATAGGGATGTTCACGGTTCCCTGTCGATTTTGCCCTGTCTAATGTTTTGTATGCAAGTATATAGTTGGTTTGCCCTTAGTTGTCCTTTGTTCTGGCAAATTTTGAACGCACAGCGGTAGAAGTGCCACAGGGAACCAAAGTGAGGAATCACTATGATGTGGGATACACCGACTTTTTAAATGGTGTAGACAACACATATATGCACAAGTACTTTCCCTTGGCTGCTGCCACTGCAGAGAAGATGCGAGCGTCTGGGCAGAATTTTACCTACACCACGCACCCGTGGCTAATGCAGCGCTTCTTGGCGTGTCCTTGCCCAGCGCAAAGCTGTCTGGCCCGGACCTTGAACAATACCATGGAACCTCCGCTGACGTGCCCATCGACCGTGGAAGTTGAAAACTTCTCAGCGGCCGCGAAAGCAGGAGCTGGGTTGGGCATCCTTTGGTAAGACCTTTTGAAGAACACGTTATGCGAAGGCAGGGGTGGTGCTGGCTAATATACTAAAATATATTGCACAATATGCTGTAACGCACACGGGCCACATAAATTGCAATAATTGGAGGCAGATGGCATAGATTCTGTCGAGGAGGGATCGCTTGGAACGCGGCGCCCTTCAACATTCAGCCTGAGAACATGTCCCCCGAGCTCTTCCGTGCTGGTTTTGACCTCACCCGGCGGATGGACCAGCGCTTCGGGCACCAGACGCGCACCATGAGCATCCGGGACGTGATTTACGTCACTCGAGCCGTCCTTCCGCACCTGGCAGAGTACAACATCACTGGACTGACCTCTGAGATATATTACCCGACGAACACATGGAAGTGGAACATGGGCATTTGGAAGTAGTGCATCGCTAGTAGTAACAAGTGCCTTACTAGTAGCAACAAGAAGCTACTAGGAACAAGTGCATCGCTAGTAGTAACAAGAAGCTACTAGTAACAAGTGCATCGCTAGTAGTA